CTAAATGAGGGCACGGGGAGTCTCGCTAACGGGATTCACCACGTGTTAGTCAACAACGCCGCGGGCGGCTCGGGGGGACCCGCTCTGCAGGCGTCTCTGCAGGACATGCAGGAGACGTTCGCCGTCAACGTGTTCGGGCCGCTGCTGATGATGCAGGCTGCAGTGCCGTACATGCCCCGGAACAGCCGGGTCATCAACATCGGCTCCGTGGCCTCCAGGCTGGGCCCGCGCGGGACGGCCTTGTACGGTGCTTCCAAGGCGGCCATGGACGCGCTGACGTTCTCCATGGCGTACGAGGTATGATTTGAAACGCACTGGCGGAGAAAGGATGATGGCGCCTGGGGAACCACGATCTGACAACTCATCGGTATACCTTTAGCTCGGACGTGGCCATGGCGGAATAACCATCAACACCGTGGCGCCCGGCCCGGTCGATACAGATGGCGTACCGCCACAGGTAGCCGCGGTGGTGCACTCGGCCCTTGTCCCGATGACGCGAGTGGAGGAGCGTGTCGGGACGGTGGAGGACGTTGCGAACGCCGTGCTGCTGCTGTGCTCGGAGAGGAGCCAGTGGATCTCCGGGCAGTGTATTTCCGTCAGCGGGGGAATAACTGGCGGGCAGCTATAGACGGTTGTTTTGAGGGTATTGGCTTTCTTTGCGTATTAGGCGCTTTGTGTTGTATAATAGAGGTATCTTTCGTTCAGCGCCGAGATGAAATTCTCAACTACGTTTCCCGGCCGCAGCGATTCATCGATCCAGAGTGTGGATTTCGCCTCGTGTATCACCTCCCTCCCGGTTTGGATCCCTAGCAACGTCATTAATTGACAGATCTTGTCAAGATACAGACCGTCGTGCCTCTGTATCTGCATTTCAGACCAACAGCTTATGGAGACGGTAGTAAGAGCCCACAGCCAGAGGTTCGTACAAGCAGAGTACGTAGAATCGGGTTCGGACATGGGCCGGCGGCTGCAGCTCTGGCGGATTAAGCTCGCAAACTTCCCGAGCAAGGGCGCCATCTCATCCGACGAGAAGAGGAACACGTCTCTCTTGGCCGCAGCGAGGAGTATCAGCAGCGCCAGGCGAACGGCTTCCCTAGCCCTGCCGAGCACGGTCATGGGTCCTGAAGGCCTCGACATCGAGAGGAGTGTGCGAGTCGCCGGCATCAGCAGCTCCATGGCCGCGGTGCTGTTTTCCCGTCGCCAGAAGAAAGTTGGCTGGCTCGCGTTGGAATTTAAGAAGGCGGCCACGGAGCTAACTTCCCAGAGGGCGACGCCGATGTCTCTGAAGTCAATGATTGGGCTCTTTATAAGAGCGTCAACGACTGGCGAGGATTGCTTGGCGTTTTCACTGCGGTCTGTGTCTTCCGACGCACACTCTGGAAGCTTGGGATGACAGTCCCACACAACACACCCTTGGGCATCGAACCTGGGGGAATGTTAATAACGCAGTACACTGAGCTGGAACTGAGGAATAACCGACCACAGGAGAAAGAGGCGCGTATTCAGACTAAGGCCATCGTACCCTCCTCGCAGGAAGATTACTCGCCGTAATCCTGAGGTATGAATGTGCCATCTCTCCCATGTTCCGACATACATCTGTTTGCGAACAGTATCAGAAAATCAAAGCAACACTTTCTTCGTTGTCATCACTAACAGGAACTCACGTCATGGCATATCATCCCGAGGATCGTGGTTATGATCCCCTCACTCACACAGTCGTCCGCGTCGCCCAACCTCCGGGTAGTCTGCGCCACGCAGTGGCCGTAATAAGTCAGGCACTCGGTGCTCTTGGCGTACTCGAACGAGTCGGGCTGAGTGGCCTGGTGCCAGAACATGGCCGCGTTGGCGAGACACAGCGTGAAGGCGCTGGGATCGGTCATGCCCATGGAGAACCAGATCGCGCGAAAGGGCCGGTAGACTGATTCAGCCTCGGTTGTCACTTGAGAGTAATTCGTTTGAGTACTCTGCCTTCTTTCTTCTTCTTCAGGGGAGATGGGGAGCATGAGGAGGGCGGTTGGGTGACGCGGAGATAATAGACGCTTACTGAATTGAACAAGCTGTAGCCCGCGCGACCCCAGCGCGATGGGATAGTACCTGGCATTAGACGGATCTGGACACCGGGGGATAGCTTCACGCCCATCCGGCACGGGTACCTGCAAAGGCCCGTGGACTAATAGCGAAGAGAGGTCCCAGGTGGGCGGAGGGCTTGGGCGAGTGCGGCGCGACCGGCCGATCTCGCGCATCACGCGTTTGCGTATACATCGCCGAGTCGATTTGGACTTGGCGTCATCGGGGTGCGAGAGGGTGATAAAGACGAGGTCCTTACCCATGTTGAGCCAACTTGTATTGGCATTTTCTAAGGGCAAGGTCGATAATAAGACGGAATACCTTTTCCCGCTCTAGGTTGCACAGTATGAATCCCGCAAAAGGCGTGTTAAAATAGCAACAACATTCTGCAGCCAGCATTCCAGGCCCCTTTCCCCTTCGCAACTCGAAGTCCTGTCGCCTTTTCTATTAGATATCTTTCTCTGTGAGAGTCTTATATCTCCTACCTAACCACAACTAGTCAGCTCCGCAGGTCCCAATTTACAATCCAACCCGGTGATGGATTCACCCACCATTATATTTCAGCGTATAAATCGTCTCGCCAGAGATGTTATCAGCCCCCTCGATCTCGCACTGCAAATAGTAATACCACCGGCCATCGAGCCCCTTCCTCCTCCGCAACTGTGACTCGGGAACGCCGCTCAGATCCGCCTCCACGCGGCAGAGCAGCTCTACCGACGGGTCCCGCGACAGCGGCCCCGGACCTTCTGCTGCCCGAGTATAGATGTCTATCTTGATAGTCCGGACGCGGCCCTTAGAGACGGGGCCGGTCCATAGGAAGATTGTCTCGAGGGGCGCGCCGGCCGGGGTTGTCTGTCTCTGCTCAGTCTTTGGATACTCACCCCCCTTCAACTTTTTACCCTATACTCTATAGGAGAGAGGGGGACTCACTCGTTTTGGGAACCATTTCATCACGGGCACTTTATAGCACCCGTCGAGCCCGCACCAGTACCTCTCCCCGCGGAGAGAAGCGTGGGCGGCTCCGTCGTATCTCACCCTCCACACCGTCCCGTAGTGTCTCCGCTCCACCCGGTCCTGGTCCCGGCCCCCCACCCCCGCCTCCACTTCCCGAGACCCGCTCCCCTCCGCCGTCGCGAGCCCCTTCATAACGGCCCCCTGAACAACAGCCTGCCACGAATTAGTGGGCCGCATGACTTCCACGTCTCCTAGCGCGATCTGCAGCCTCTCCCGGAGGTAGTCCGACTCGCCGAATCCCCCGACTAGGAGGACGGCCTTGGGAGGCCGAGGGAGGGAGGAGATGTATTCGGTAGCCAGCTTCGTTGTCTCGAGGATCACCGGCTCGAAGATGGCGACTAGGTCCAGAAACTGGAGGGCGTAGTGCCCGTCGGATACGGAGAGGTCGTCGTTGTCTGCGAGGTCG